AAATATCTAGGTGGACAATGTTTAACTGTAAATAAACTTGCTGGAAATTCATTTCTGGCCCCTTCACATTTGTAAAAACTACCCTGCCCCTAAAAGCAAAAAAGCGCAAAGAGCTTGGCTTTGAGGGAAGGAAAGACTCAGGGTTTTATGCGACAGGACAATTTCGCTAAGACTACTCCCCAAAAGGCGTTGAGCCAGAGTCTCGTTTTAAGAAATGAGTCCGTTTATTGGCAAGACATCACTTTTCTTGGAAATCAACCTAAGTTTTGGGGCGAATCAGCTGTTCTAAACAGATGACAACGGGCTTCCTTGTTTAAGAGCTGTGGTTCTGGGCTAAGGGTGCGGCCATAGGTTGCCGACAACGGTTACCGAAGTTGCCGGCGTTGTCCGTCGTTGTAGGATCTCTCTGTGTCTTACATGCTCTCTGTGCGGCAACCTCAGCAATCTCGGCAACGCCGGCAAACGTTGTCGGCTCTGCCGTTCCCTAATGTATCTGCGAGAGGTACAGCAATGCTTCGCAGATAATAAGTCATTGGTAGCTTCTTTTCTTAAGAGCAGTGACTTGTTTCTACTACTACTTATGACACGAAAGATCGATGACAAGATGGAAATTCTGTTCTTTGGAATTCTTAGTTAAACGCAGGTAGATATCAATGTATCTGCCCCCACCCACTTACTGGCGACCCTAGTCTTATACAGTGCTGGACATAATTATACAGCCACTCTAGAAATCGTCGTAATTTTTGTTCTTGTCAATGAATCTGTCTGAAACTTTGCTGTATTGTGCGCATGTCAACCTACCATAACCCCTTGAAACGGCTTCCAGTCTTGTTGAGTTTGAACGGAGAAAAACGAAAAAAATCGAAAAAGCCCTCTTTGAAAGCTGGACAAAATTATACAGCCACCTGGTTTTTCTAATCACTATCGCATTCGTTGACTCTCAAATTTTTTTGTACAATTACATCCCAAAATGTGAAACATTTGCGACACTTACGGCCTGTCTTCCTACTCAAATAGAAGCAATCGCTGCATTTCTTGCTTTTAAAAGCATTAAAAGTCAATCTCCTTCAACAAACAACTGCTTTAAAAAGTTTTCAAGCTCTTGTTCATTCCAATTGATAATCATGAATCTACTGACCCTTTTGGATAGATGAGGTGAAGAGCGCTTTCGTAAACTCTGCGTAATCGCTGATTTTGACGGACAGACTCCAACCTCAACATAGGCTTGGAACGCTTTTAAACCACAAACTCAGTTTGCAATGTCCACAAAGTGCTGAACTTGATTTATCACATTGTCTACATGGGGATACAGCTTTCGCAATAACTTTCAGATTTTTCCTAATGATGCGGTAGCGATTTAGACCTGGAATACTTTCCACAAAAATTCCCTGCGAGCCGAAGATTCGATATAACCCTAGATCTCCTTATTTACGTCTGTGTTTCATGTCATATTTCACCCGATGAATGAGATTAGCTAAGATTTTGAAGTCTTAAGCGTCTCCGGTTTTATCTCGTGATCTGAGTTGGCTTTGATTGTACAGGGTGCTCCACTCAACATTCAGTGAATGTCAACTGCGGCTGAATCAGAGTGCTCAGTCCCAAAATTTCTTCCCAGTCATGCACACGAGTTCACTGTTCTATGGCTGTCGTAATGGCTACATTACAATATTTTCTGTCGCTTGAAAATCGAGTTTCGTGGTGCAAAAGTGCGTCAACCCTATGGTGAGGTTGGAGTTTGTTCGTCAAAATCAGCGATTACGCAGAGTTTACGAAAGCGCTCTTCATTTCATCTATCCAAAAGGGTCAGTAGATTCCATGATTATCATTTGGAATGAACAAGAGCTTGAAAACTCTTTGAAGCAGTTGTTTGTTGGAGGAGATTGACTTTTAATGCTTTTAAAAGCAAGAAATGCAGTGATTGCTTCTATTTGAGTAGGAAGACAGGCCGTAAGTGTCGCAAATGTTTCATATTTTGGGATGTAATTGTACAAAAAAATTTGAGAGTCAACGAATGCGATAGTGATTAGAAAAACCAGGTGGCTGTATAATTTTGTCCAGCTTTCAAAGAGGGCTTTTTCGATTTTTTTTCGTTTTTCTCCGTTCAAACTCAACAAGACTGAAAGCCGTTTTGAGGAGTTATGGTAGGTTGACATGCGCACAATACAGCAAAGTTTCAGACAGATTCATTGACAAGAACAAAAATTACGACGATTTCTAGAGTGGCTGTATAATTATGTCCAGCACTGTCCAGCACTATATAAAGCTGAATGTCTGTATGCCTATCTGTCTATCTGTATCTGTCTGTCTGTTCGTATATTCCGAATAGAAAATTCCATTTCTGAACCGATCTGGACTAAACTTGGCACACATACGCTTCGGGGCGAGGCGAGTGTCATAGGCTACTTTTCGTCATCGATCGATGTCGATTCCCTCGATTTTTTGTAGTTTGATCTACAGGGCTGGGAGTTGACACAGGGGGTAATCGAGCATGCTAATTACGAGGCTGTAGAGGATAGGGATGGGAGCTTTATCATAGCGTTTTGACAGGGCCGGGTGGAGCCGAGTGCCAGCTAGTCAATTAATAAACTTCATACATTTTTATTTTTTCTGCCGCTTCAGAATAACGAACATGCAATAATCTTGCATCAGTCTAATGCATCCAAGACCAATCATTATTAACGAAGGAACAGACATCAAAACACTATATAAGCGTACTATTAGTTCTGGTTCAGTTAGATGTTGCTAGAAAATCAATAGAAACTACTGTTCTGCTTAGACGGGCATCGTCGAACAAAACAATTTTGATGGAGTTAGTACTAAATATAGGATGAAGCAGTTATAGATCGCGCTACTTTTACGGAATTCTGGCTGGAAAGACTAGAAGGCAGAAAATATAAGGCTTGTACTTCTCGTTAATCCTTCCTATATTCGCGCAATCTAGAAATGGCTGTATTCTCGATAATTTTCAGAGATGATTGTACTTTCTGAACCATCTTACAGAGCTGCAGTCAGTACACATCTTCGTACGGCGTGGCCCACATGAAGTGTAACATACTGTGAAAGTATTGTTTATTTTTGTTCTTAGTGATATTCGTCGTCTTATCCATATTTTCTTAGTGTGGCCATTCTTGATAGTTCGAGAACCATTTGACCGTAATCGCAGCTAAAATCCCAGCGTCATTTTCTGAAATTTTGTCAGAAGTATCGGAAATTTTCAGAGAATGTGCTGCTTTCTTGAGCCAAAGCAAACGCCACCAGGACTTTTCAACAGGGCAAGACAAGTCTACACAGAAAAAATTCCAGTGGTGTCTTCTGAACATTAGAATAATTCATTGGCCTTGCAAATCGACCAGTTTTAAATCCACGATTTTCTGTTTGATCGATCTTGGAGCAAAAATGCTGCTCTTCCAATTATTGATTTGTTGAAAAAGAAGAGCGAGAGCCCTAGACGAAGATCGAACCAAAGCCGGAGGCAGGCGTCTTGGAAACCATCCACGAGTTTTTCTCTACAAGATGAAGGCAGATGCTTGCAGTTTCACTTGTTCAGTGCAAAATTAAAAATATTTCTTTGAATCTTTTGTGGACCACCCTGTATATAGGTGCAACTTTGGTATAAGGTTTATTCAACTTTCCTTGGTCAGATCGAAGGGTTTCCAAAAAGTTAAGTACATATTTGTGGTTTTTTGAGCTCTCGCCGTGACCGAAGGATATTTAGGATTTTTTTCGTCCCGCGCACGTACGATACCGAGTGGCTGTTTCGCCATCGCTGCCTGGTACGATGATCAGTAGTGCCGCGCGAGTTTACAGAGGATGCGTGAGATTTTTCCCGAAGAGTAAATTTCAGGTGAATGGTGCTTGAATGGTAAAAGAAAGATAAGCATTATTGTTCTCAAATAGTCGACATTCGGTACCGTCTGATAGAAAGAAGTGACTAGAATCGACTAGTCAGACAAAGCGAACCAAATAAGGTTTTGAAAGCAATGGAACCAAAGGCAAACAATGTGCTAAGGCGTCCGCTAAAATTTGCAATTATTTATGTTTAGAAGTTCCAAAACGGATAAAACACACGAAATTTTTCCTGAAAAAGCAGCACATTACTGACATCCATATTTTACACCCGCTTGAAAATTTCCGAATGCTTGAACTAGCCATGAATAAATTATGGCATCTTAAGTGGTTAAGATTTTTCTAAGATAGAGCTAACCGCGCCTAAAACTTTTCTGCCTTTTTTGTGACGCAGTAATGACATTTCCATGACCACCAGAAATTTATATCTTTGTTAGAAGCTACTGTGAGTTTATTGAGATTAGCATTTATTCATCAAAAATGTCATCATGGTAACAATAAGAAAACTGGTCTAAATTTATAGAATTTGTATCGTAATTTTTCTATGGAAGTTATGGGAATTTTCAGTTTAAACTGCAGTTTATCAGACAGGTATGTCGAATTTCCAACCACTTTTTCCAGTGTATTGCCCTGAGCATATTTAATGCAAATCGGACGCTCTGTCGAAATGTTGTGTAATCTATCAGAAAAAGCTGATTACAAATATAAATTGATAAACATATAAGTGAAAATAGCAATCAGTGGCAGTTTATTATTTTCAGGAATTCAAAGATTTCTTAAACTTCCGATTTTTTTCTTCCTTCTTTTAAGTAAAGTCAGCAGGTATCTAACTGTAAGCTGATGGGTTCACAAACTAGTTAAAGACGTCCTCATTGTTCTCGCGGATTCACGGCATAGTGCCTACGCTATTTATACATCAACCACGATCAAGGCTACCGTCTCGAGCTTCAGACGCAGGAAGCGAAAATCAACAATTGTTTTCACAACAAACGAATTTGCGCAGTCTGCTTGCACAATTTATTATTGCAAAACACTGTACAATACAATGTCTTAACCTCGTAGACACACAAATACTGTTGTGTAAACACTAGAGCCTCGAAATTTTCTCGTTTCTTCTACTCGGGTCGGTCAGTGTTTGTACGGCACACGATATAATGTTTGCGCATCCGACGCGAACCTTAGAGGAAAATATTGATCTCAAAGCCTCTTTACCGCACATCCATAGACAGGTATCGTCCACAACTTCTGTGTTTAGTTCCGGGAATCGCTTCTCCATTGAAATCTCGTCTCCATTACTTAAGGTGTACTGTAAAGTCTGCAACTTCAATGAAAGTGCATATTTTGAAGGTCCCATTTGTAATCACTGTCCATTTCTATGGGATTTCATTTTTTGAGAAAATGCTAAACAATTAACTCATGCAAACTTTACCCAAAAAAAGAAAATATTTTTTTTGAAGTTTAGCACCAAGTTCTTCCGCATGCCAGCGCGCTGAGCAAATATCTTTGAAAGTACGGTCAACTCAGAGCACGGCAAATTTGCTTTTCCTTTTAGCAACAAAAGTGCTTAGTCCAGACTTTCCAGGCTAAATCAGCCTAGTTCATCGTCACGCAGTCTCCTTCGTAGTCATGAGAAAAGTCTTTCAATAATATTTTTCACATCAAACAAGTCTTCCTGACATAGGTCAAGACAAGTGCGGCTGTAAGTAAGTAACTGCGAAATCCTTTTTCCAATGCATAATGGAGCCGCTGGTTCCAGCATATCATTGCCAACGGATTTTTCTTAAGAAACTTTTCAATAGAAAAGCATAGTGCACTAGTGCAGTGCATAGTGTACGTCTTGGAGATCTCTGGTTGAAAACAGAACATTTTAAGACTATGTTCAATAGTACTATGCAGTTCTAGATAGCAGAATTAAACCTGTACCAAAAATGGAGAAATTTTTTTCGCAGAGCATTTGAGCCGCACGAAAGACGCACCTCGTTTGCTTTCGCCTTCCAAGTACCATGACTAAGCTTGACACACGCACAGCTCCATCCTATGGTTACATGCCTCTAGTCTCAACTAGCTTGATACGATTTCCGGCAATCTGTTAAACTGTTTCTATGTCTAACAATCTTTGTTTAGGAATGCGAGCAAAACACATTGGATATGTGCGTTGTGCAGCCCTTACGCTGAGTTTTGCCACAATGGTAAATTTTTTGATGTTCTGCATTATGGGTCTAGCATTGGAGGTTGCGAAAGTTTTCTAGGGGAAAAGGAGAAGATAAGAGTGTGACAATAATTTTTAGTTTATAAGACAGGCGTGAGCCTTCTTTCCTTATGCTCCTCGACTCATTGACGACAGCGCAGGCCATCGTAAGCTAACGGCACTATTCAAAATCTTTCTTACAATTGTAACCAATTTCTTTACTCCAAATTCTATACATGTTCCTCAAGCTTGTACAGGTAAACTATTTCCAGTAGGCAGCTCCACAAACTCTAAATCCCTTGCCAACATCAAATCTGTCGAAAAAGCAGTCGCCTGTAACTAAAATTATCAAAAAGCGAAAAAATTATGAATCGTGTGGTCGTCAATGGGTTAAATCCTCGCAAGATCGTAAAGAAATTGTAAGAAATAGACACATTAGTTTGCTCTATAAAGCTAATTCAAACAACTATCTAAAAATCGTGTGATGATTTGCAAATCACGAGTTACCTGCATAATTTTATAATTCGTCTGTGCTGAATGGAAGTGACAACTTCCTTGACTGACACCTTCGTTTGCTTTCAAATCATGCCATCTAGCTTTCAAGAAATTGATGGAGCCTCACATACATTTTGAGAAAAATGGCAGAATTTTTTGAGTGAAAAATGATGACGAAAATAGCAGAATTTTTTAAGCAAAAAATGATGACGAAATCCTCCCCCCTTTCCAAAAAAAAATTCTGTGACCGCTCTAATCTAAAAAAGTGCTTAATTGCTTTTTTCAGGTTTTATCTATAGGTGTACTTGGATTCGGACTGCGTTCAGTGGTCGAGACCTCAGAGTTTTCTGAAATCATCGGAACCCGAGAGCTTACCACAGCCGCTCTTGTGATGCTTTCAATCGCGGTTTGTATGTTCGCTGCCACTCCACTTGGTCTGTTCTCAGTAATTAATAAGCAGAACACTATGATGCTGACGGTGAGTAGATGACTGAGCACATCTTTGTTAAATCTTGCAAATGAGCATTTTACAGTACATGGCAGTGACTTTCTTTGCATGCCTGTTCAGTGCACTTTGCGCATGGTTAGGATTGAATTTGAAACACGAGGTAGGATTCTTGCACATCTTCAGTGTTTTTGTCAAGAAAAATTGCAGCTCTTTCTAGGTCGAGCGTGGAGTGATTTTGCAATGGATGAATACGAGCTTTTTGAAAGAGTACGGTCATCCGGAAGCTGTCGCGCTAACTGAGTCTTGGGATAACATGCAACGGAAGGTAACTTTCTTTTTCAGTGTACATCTCCACAATTCGACTTACAATACCACCCGTAATTGTGAAAAAAAATGGCGGCGGCACTTAACTCACGCGGCGCCGCCGCAGTTAGATGACAAACGCCGCGTCGCGCGACAAAAGTCGGCGGAAAAGCGGCATTTGCCGCCTAACTTTGCCGCACAACGCCTAATTTTTTTCATAAAAAAGCCTTATCTTGATCCAAAAATTATGAATTCTATATATAAGAGTACCACTTAACTCTGCTCGGCGAGGCGCATCTTCCAGCTTATGGAGGTGTCTAGTCGTGGGGTTAGGTGTACGGTAGGCAGTCAATTTCACGTTTTTCTTCAATTTCAGCTCGAATAAATTACTCAATGTGCTAGATTGTAGCTCTTGAAGAGCTCTATCACCACAAGCAATCCAATCATTTTTTCATCTTTGTTTTCCATCTGAAAATGAGCGCTGAAAGAATGAAGGCGACTTGTCCGCAACTTTTTGGCGGTCACTGTATATCACAAGCCCTACCTTCGTACAGCATTTCCCGCACGGCCCACTTCCACATGTCTTCCACAGTCTCCTGCTTCATTACGACTTCGTGATCAGCTTATTCACCTAGCCCATGCGCCAACTCCCAGCTCCGTAGCTGAATGCTAAGAAGCGATGAAAGTAAAGGTAATCTCTGAAAACTGATGGACTACTCGCAATCAGCATAGTGGTGAATTCCGAATTCAAAACCACCAGTTTGATAAACCTTTTAGAGTGCCTAGTCGTGGGGTTAGGTGTACGATAGGCAGTCAATTTCACGTTTTTCTTAAATTTTAGCTCGAATGAATTACTCAATGTGCTGATTTCAGAGGCCACATTCTGCTGAGCATAATGGATACGGTAGATATAGTGCATGCTGCAGACATACGGTGAGTGGCAAATTAAGAGTCCAAACAGATTTAAGCAGTTCACCTTCAGCCTTACATTTAAGATACCTCAACGGTTTGCCACCGGCGCAGTTAATGACTGCATTTCGGTGAAGAAAAGTTAAATAGCGCTTAGGAGACGTTGCAGCAGATGAATAAAATCTTTGTAAGCAGCAAACCGAATAAAAGCTAAACAAAATTTTACACATATCCGTGCAGAATGAGCTCTTAAATCATACCTACCGTATTGCTGCAGCACTCAACAGAATGTGGCCTCTGGAATCAGCGCAGTGAATAATCGATCTACACTGAACTTTTAAGAAGAACGTGAAATTGACTGCATACGTATATCTACTTTACACTAAGCAGAAGTGCGCCTCGCCAAACTGAGTTTTCAAATCCCGAATTTTGGAATATTGCATTTGGGGATTCATATTAAAATGCGACGCGAATTTCGACAACGGCGTCGCCGAAATTAGGTCGCCTGAGCCAGCAGCCGCCGCCTTCAAATTCCGAGCGGTATGTACATTGCACAGCACGCGCGGCATTCCACGATATTTGCTTCGCATGCGATTTGCCAGCCATTCCCCTTTGTCTTCTTGCATTTTTGGGACCCGTCTACTTCGCCGAGAAAAGCCCAGTTTTACACATATCCGTGCAGAGTGAGCTCTTAAATTATACCCACCCTACTTCTGCAGTGCTCAACAGAATGTGCAGGTAGCCTCTGGAATCAGCACACTGAATGATCCATTTACACTAAAATTCCAAGAAAAAAACCTATATCCCACAACTAGGCACATCTGTATACTAGAAGACGCGCCTCGCCGAGCTGAGTTGAATAGTACTCTTATATATAGAATTCATAAATCTTGGATCAAGATAAGGTCTTTTTTTATAAAAAAGTTAGGCGTTGCGCGGCAAAGTTAGGCGGCAAACGCCGCTTTTCCGCCGACTTTTGTCGCGCGACGCGGCGTTTGTCACCTAACTGTGGCGGCGCCGCGTGAGTTAAGTGCCGCCGCCATTTTTTTTCACAAATTACGGGTGGTACTGTACAAGGAAAGGACACTGTGACCGTGGCCATTTGGAATGCAATGTATACCTCAAAATGCATCTCAAGACGCTAATTTCAAATCTGTGCTCGATATCTACGAAACGATCTTCTGGAGGAAGTTATGAGCTTTTTTTCGTATAAAATTTGCTTACTTTTGGGTAGTTAAAATCACTAGACTTGTTCTCGATTATCGATTACCGTTTGAAGCTATTAAAGTGAATTTTAGAAGACATACTGTTGTATTCTACCTATCTAAATCATATTCAGTATTTGAAAGAGAAAGAAACGTTTTATTAATGAGTTTGGCCTTCTGCAGTAGCGCAATTTATGCATGAAAAAATAATAACTTCATCCAGGTTGTCGTTTCGCAGATATGGAAGACAGCATTCAAACCAGCATTGAAAGGTGCATTTTTTGATATATAAATTGTCACAAACGCCTATGGCCACCAAGTATCCTTCCCTTGCTAGTCTACAAACATTGTGGGCTACTGTAACCGAACCTTCATTTCTAGATCATGGCTCTTCAAAAATGACAGAAATATCTTTTTTCAAAGTTAATCTTCAGCTTTATGCCTTTTCAGTCTCCCATATATTCAGCCTTCCTTCACTTCAGAAAAGCTATACTTTCTGCGATTTATAGCAAGACCAAAAGCGCAGGACGTATAGCTTTATTGAAAAAGTATTGCTATGATTAGCTGGTGATTTTTTCTGTTACTCATAGTCGATTATTAAAATCTATCCTAAAGAAAACAATTAGGTCATAAAGTTTTTAAGTGCAGAGGAACACGACAATCTCAGGAGTAAGAGGAGATTTCTCTGGCTTAATGTAATATATTAGGTTGTTGCAAAAATAATGTCCGTTTTTTTAGGCGTATATTCCAAACGACTTTTCTCCTTCAGGCTTTCTTTATCGATACAGATTCTGCACATCGTTGAAAAGCTTTCTTCATGTACTTTCTAACGGTTGTGAAATTAAGCTTTTATCTCATCTGTAAGATTTTCACCAGCATTTTGCACAGCCGCACTCAAAATCGAAATTTCATTGCTCCAACTTTCTTGGCCACAATTCAGGCGCAAATAAATGAATTCTTCTAAAAACATAGCTACATAGCTACTGTATATGATGAATACTGTTTACTTATTGCATGTTCAAACAAGTTTTTCGAATATACATGAACTGACAAATCGAGCTTCCAAAAAATACTCGCTGCCTGGAACTCTATGGGTTCGAAATTTTTCCTGATTAGGGCAATCGCTGAAACTTCGCTCATTTCTGTAGGCTTAAGGTCAGGACATCTTATCTACAATTCATGCAGAAAAACTTAGCTATTCAGCGCACGGAGAATTCCAAGTTTTTATAGTTTGGGACTTCCAAGCCTATCACAAATAGGCTTAAAAAAGTGAACAATTTTGGATTTCTATCTTTTTTATTTCGAAGAACTTCTTCGTTAAAGTTCTTTTTACACCAACGTATACTACTGGGTTGCGTCTACAAAATAAGCTGATTAGCAGCCATAACAACAAAACTTGAAGGAATTTGTAATTTTTCAAATACGCGGTTTCCAGTGGCAAAACTTTTGGTTTTCTGTCGCAAGGTTTTCTTCCTGTTTGCGATATCAGTATACGCAGGTGCGCTTTAGATTACGAAAGGTTCACTGCATCTGATGGTCTTGATTGCATTCAAAAATATGAAGACTGAACGAAGTTATAGCTTTTCAAAGTGAAATTCTGCAAAACGGACATTATTTTTGCAACAACCTAATAGATGATGTAATGTACTTGCTCATTTTCTATCAAACAGACGTGTATAGATGCAATTCCAAAAATTCTACCACTCCTGATGGCCGACACCTTGTAACTTTACTTCCTGAATTACCAAGCCAGACAGAAATTACCGTTACCACGTTAGAATGAATGTCTTTGTGGGGTAGAAATCTCACCAAACCATTCAGTATTTGCAAACTATTGACAAACCTGATGAAATGTCATTGATTGTCTTTTTATGACGGAGGCTCCTCGTCCATTTTCGAAAAAACTTGTGTTCTAGTCTAAACATCAGCAGAGCAAAGCACCTTCAATTCATACAGCTTGAAGATTTCATAGCTGAAGTTAGCTTAAATTTTACAGTTTGCATGCTGTGGTATTTCTGATGAGAGGAACTTTTCCGAATGGCTCTCAACGCACTGGTTCATCTCGTATGAAACGTAAGAAAGTACCAGTCTAGTAGAGTAATCGCATAGTGATACTACGGTTTACAGGTGGCCAAGGCCTCGAGTGCCGACAAGCTGTTGCTCTACTTGCGAAACAGTACATTCAAGGTAAAAACGATCAGAAGTTCGAGATTTCTCCTTTCATCTGTAAAGGAGTACAATCATAGGTTCTGTGATTCAATGATGTCAGACTTGCCTGAAGATGGAATGCTCACTGAGGACCAGAAGACATGCATTGCAGGTAAAAAAAATAAGCAAATAATAAAATACGCATGATAGAGATGCAGTCTAACAAGGGATGGGTACTGAAGTAAGTTGGCGATTAGGATTCAGATCACTAGACGCTCCTCAAACGCTGATTCAAAATCTGTTTTTCTTTTTTTGCGGTGTAGATTTTCAGAAGAAGTTATGAGCGTAAAGTCCAAATTTGTCGAGCTTCAAACGGCATAAAATTAGCGAAAAGGTGCACAAAAACACCTGAAATTGGGTAACCATTTTGGTGGAGTATATTGACTAAGAGAAGGAACACAGGCAGTGAGAGTTCGCATGTGTGTGTTTGTAGAGCCTCTACTATGCCATTGTAAGCTTGACAAATCTGGACAGAACGCTCGTAACTTCTTTGGATTTTTCTGGAAAAAAGGAAAGCAGATTTGGAAGCAGCCTTCAAACAGTTGCGTACCCATGATTTCGGCTCTGGGGGGGGGGACAAACCTCCGAAAAAATTTTTGTTATGCTTTCAAAAATTGTCGGGGGCTCATAACCTCGGAAAAAAATTTTATAAGGCCGAAATAAATTTTTTAAAATTTTTAAAAAATATTTTAATTATTTACAAGTATGAATAAGTCATTTGCAGAATTTTACAACCCATTGAGCAAGTTTCAAAAATTTCGCGACCCATTCTCGGGGGGCCTCCCTTCCCTCCTCCCCCTTTAAAGGCTCGTATACACATCTCGTCTTTGATCACCAACTTGAATTGATACACTTCCCTTATAAGTAAAACTTAAGAGTAAGTGACATCGTTAATGAAGCCTCGCATATACTCGAAGGGAGCAAAACGGTGAAAGAACAACCAAAACAACAACAGAAAAGACTGAAATATTCGTAAGAAACTCACCAATCCTTCCTCAGTTGCGAGCACCAAAAATACCAGAATGTTGAAGGTTCCTGATTGTTCATAATTAATCTTTTCACATTTCTTTCAGTTTGGATTGCCGACCTTATGAGTCTAAAAGAAAGAATTTGATCGTGCGAAAACAGCCGTAGATCTTTTCAGCTGTGAATTGTTGACCCTAAAGCACCTCAAACTTGCTACTCTATTTCAGCAAGTTATATGTGTCCCGAAGCAAATGCTTCTGTTGTCGATGTTGATGCTTGTCAGGGACGAGCAACTCCCGCTACGCCTAGGGAAACGTATATGCATACCAGGGTCAGTTTACATTTATTCATACACTGACGATAATGCTTACGGGGACGTCCGGCTTCGCTCGGTCCCTGTAAGCATAAAGGCAGCGTCCGTTCAGATTTGGACATTTTTGGATACTATCATAACCGAGTACTAGGGCCTCGATCTAGAACTATCGCACAAATCCGACTTTCAAACATCCTCTGTAAAAGGAGAGAATCGGCGCAGAGAACGCCGAGCCTCAAGGGCCACGCCCACTCCCTCGCACCGCCCGCCCCTTGAACGAACTCTCCTCAGCCCTTGACGTGTTTTCACGTGGCAAACACAATGAACCACGTGTCTACCTGTTAATGCTTGCTTTTCGACAAGGACAGTATTAGAAGCAGGGCTCGGTACGAGCTGACACCAGGGAATTTTCAAAACGAAATCCCCCTTGATTTTCGCTAAGTTTTACGAAGTC